TGCAATTTCCTTCTCTCTTGCCTCTTCTACAGCTGTGCATACCTGATCCAGTTCCAACAACTCCTCATTGATTGTCAATTCCTCAGGAATCACCTCTAGGAGCTCCTCAACATCATCCTCATTCATACCTAAAGAAAGGTGTTTCCTATCTCAACCACAGCCTTGTTGATTTTTGTTACTCCTCATCCTTGTCAAATTCTTGGAAGTCAGAATTAACTTTTTGAGTGTCTTCCAGGTGCCATTTTTACACTCCTTACTGACGTCACCTCAACCCCAAATAAGGTCTTGATACAGTCATAGAAGCTATAATCTTTCCAGAACAGCATCAGTGTCTTCCTCAGTTGCAGCAATAACCTGGCCCAAGGTCTTCCTCAGGTAGTAGACCTTGAAAGCTGCTATAACTCCTTGATCCACTGGTTGGATCAAAGAGGTGGCATTCAGAGCAAAAATCATCACTTTGATATTAGGATGAAGGTCAGCAATAAAAGAGAATCGCTGGAGCACTACCAACAATAAGTAACATTTTGAAAGGTATGTGATTATCCATACAGTGCTTCTGTACTTTCCTGACATAGCACTTCCCGAGGCCATCTGGACTATGCATGACATCTTTTTGCTCCTGAAGCATGCTGGAGTGTGTGCTTGTTGATATGCTTGAAAGCCCTGGGCATACTGCTGTGACAGATCAGAAAGGCTTCCAATTCATAGCCTGCAACACCACTCCTAAATACAACTGTTGTCCCATTCTTAACAAGCCTTGAAACCTGGCACTGACTTGGCCTTCTCATGGATGAAAGTCCTTCAGGCATGGTTTCCAGAATATTGAAGTTTCTTCTATATTGAAGACTTGCTCTGGCAAGTAGTTTTCCTCTATAATCAGCTTATCTAGGATCTCCAAAAATTCTTCAGCTGCTTTAACATCAGCATTCACAGATGTGCCACTTTCATATTATGTAAGACATGATTTATTCAAACTACCCAGAGGTACCAGTTAGTTCAACATCGTAGTGGGGTCCAACCTTTTCCTTCAACATTGCAAACAAACTGCTTGGGCCATGACTGTCATGGTGCTAAAAAGGATATACTTCTGTGTGCCTGGTCTTCAATCTAGGGCACTAGAAGTTTCTTCATATTTGATCCAGGCCATTCTTGAATTTTTCTTAGTCCCTTTCCCATCACTGAAGCAGATTCCATCAATTTGTTCTTGTTCTTCAAGATGGCAGCTATGGTAGGATGGGATATACCTAACTGGTAAGCAATGTATCACCGATGTTATCAACTTCATAGTCCTTAATCACTCAATCTTTTTCCAGATGAATCAATGTAGCCTCTTACTGTCATTAGCAGTAGCTACTGTATACTTAGGAAACATGATAAACAAAACAACATGAGATTATATCAAGCACAAGAGAAAATGATACAATCAAAAGACAAAGTCAATGTGAGATGCATATGCTGGCATAACACACAACAAGGCACACTGTTTTACAGTAAACATTTTTTTTTTTTAATAAATAGAAGGAGCACACTTTAAAGTGATAATAAAAGTATAGTATAATAAATACATAAACCAGTAACAGTCATTTATTATCATTATTATTATGTACATATAATTATAACTGTATGTACTATATTTTTATACAATTGTCAGCACAGTAGGTTTGTTTATATCAGCATCACCAAAACCACATGAGTAACATGTTGCACAAGAAGTTTTGTTTTGGTGGTGCTGGGGATTGAACCTAGGCTTTGTGCATGTTAAGGAAGTACTTTACTACTGAGTTACCTTCCCAGCCCTTAGTTAAACTTTTGGAAGTCTACACATCACTACTAGGTGATAGGAATTTTTTAGCTGCATTATAATCTTATGAAACCACTGTTATGTATGTGGTCCATCACTGGTCAAAATGCCAGTATGCAGCACTTGACTATATTTTAAAGTCTAAATTAAAACAACAATTTTGAGAATGATTATATACATTATATGATTATACATTTATATAAATAAAATGTATGTAATATATATTATTCCCGGAGTTTAAAATACTATACATAATACATATTCAATTTCAGTTATTTTTAAATGTTAAAATAGTTTCTATGTGCCAGGCATAGTATCGCATGCCTATAATCCCAGCAGCTCAGAAGTCTGAGGAAGTAGGATCATAAGTTCAAAGCCAGACTCAGCAAAAGTGAGGTGCTAAACAACTCAGTAAGACCCTATCTCTAAATAAAATACAAAATAGGCTAGGGATGTGGCTCAGTGGTTGAGTGTCCCTGAGTTCAATCCCTGGTACCCACCCACCCCCATAAAAGTCTGTGTGTGTGTGTGTGTGTGTGTGCGCGCGCGCGCACGCGCAAGTATACACACAATGTGACTATAGGTACAGATTATATACAATATATGTGAAATCTCAAAATGTTAAGATAATTCCTCACATACTTATTAAATCAAAGTTAAATAATTCTGATATGAAAAACCAATTTCATTCCTAATTAAAATTTTACTTAATACACTTCAAAGGTTTCTCTTTTCCTGCTAATTTAGACCTCATTTGAATATTATATGAATATTTCATATGAATATTTATTCTTTATTTTTCATCACCCCTGGTGAAATAGGAAATTATTTTAATATGCCAACTAGAATATATCTTACTTCAGTCTTCATAGTTCCTGCCTCTTCACATTTAACAAAGTTCAATTATATACTAGTGTAAAATTTTTTTCTTTTCTAATAATAGACTTTCTCTATTGGACAGGCCATGAGCAGAAAATTTTATCTTCCAAGACTATTTAATTCATTTCTAATTTATTCTAGCTTTTTTTCCCCTTTTTAACTGAAAAGGAGAATTAGGGAAAAAAATCACAAAGATATTCTCTGACTCTTATAATTTTTAATGACTTCACAATTTGTAGAAAAATTTCCTCCAAGATTGGGTATTCAACATTTTTTGCTTTCATTTATAATATTATATAATGAACACTTTTTTTCTGTTTAATTATTACACTAGGATAAATTCCTAAGGAGTAGAATTGCTATATGAAAGGAAAATTGTAAAATCCATTATGTTTCTTGCTATGAAATGCCACCAAAAAAAGTTGTATTAATTTAGAGCTACTTGAAACCAATAATTTTTATGCATTGATAAAAGTCATTGCTATCTTTAATGGCCCTAAATATCACAATTAAGAAAAAAACAGCTCTGCTATTTTAAAAATGTTTATCAATGTAAAATGGTGTTTCAAAATTGCTTAAGAACATTTCTGTGATTACAAATGAGAGTAGACATGCTTCTGTCTTTTGTTTACTTTCTGTCACCCTATGATAGCCATATGCTGTTTTTCTTTTACTCAGGGATGACCAATACGATTCTGGAACCTGTATATTCAGAAAAATGAGATATTATATCCCATTTGATTCAAATATATGATATGTCAAGATCACTGTACTGTCATGTGTAACTAAGTAAAACAAATTTAAAAAATAAATAAATAAATAAATAAATAAATAAAATTAAAAGTCTAATGATATTTTCACACATTATGATAACACATTTCATCATATCCATAAAACAGTTATTTTTCCTAATTCATGGTGCCTTCCTTCTACATTTGTGTTTTTTCATTACTTGAAAAACATATACATATGTTTGAAGCCCCTTCTTCCCTTATTTTTTTGTTTAAATCTGAGAAATTTTTTTTTCCTTTTTTAACCTCAAAACAAAATCAATTCACATTGGCAATTCCATACATTTAAAGTAGTTAACTCTCTTAAACATTTGGAGGGTTCTTTTTTCAGTGACTTAATGTAGGAATTAATTTTTCAGATATATTATTATTATTTTAATATGTTATTGTAAATAACCCTTCTTTATAACACAGTTCTAAAACCATTCTTCATCATAATGGATTTTTTACCTATAGTAGTAATTATTTCTAAACATTCTCAGCTATTTTTCATTCTTATATTTCATTTTCTTCACAAAACTCCTCCTTCTAGTTTTGAATACTGTTTTAGTATCTAGTAAAGCTCAATGTCTCCCATATTTTCTGATCTTTTCCCCCCACAATTGTTCTCTGATAGTCTCACTGGTTGATTTTCTCATGTGCATTTTGACATTTGCAAAAATAATCATCAGGGTTTTTTGTCTTTTTGTTTTTTAAAGAACTATATTAAGTTGGCATTAATATGTGAATAAGATCTGTTTAAGATAATATTTTGTCTATTCTCTCACAAAACATGGTATAGTTTTGTATTAAATTCTTCTAAGTTCACTAGAATTCTTTAAGAAGTGAATAAGGATTTAATTTGGAATTGATATTACTAAAGGTATTTACCACTGGTTTCCATAGTGGTCTATCTCATAATGGTTAAGAATCTCACAAATAATCTATTTCTGGTACTCATCAACAGCACAGGCAAATATTTCCTTAATATGCTGACTAAAAAGGATAATGCAGGAGAATGCTATTTTAAAATATCCAAAGAAAACTCCCTTTTTTTCCTCCCTTCCTATTCATTCATCTCCTCCACCCATTCACTCAACTAAAGTCTTAATTCAGAATTTAATTTATAGAGAAAAGAATATAAATCTTTAGATATCAAAGTTGGAAGGCTGGTTTTGGTATTTTTATAGTCTCAAAAGTATGCCTGAAGATTTTTTTTTTTTTTTTTTTTACCAAATGAGCAGGAAAACTGGCTAATAAAGCCATCTGGACAGGCACAAGAAAAATGCAAAGTGACAATGTTGCTGTGTCCTTTTCGTGCAAATAACATTCTTCCAAAGCAGATCACAAGCCCCAATAATACCATGGTGAATGTTTGAACTTCTCCACTCTTACCCTAAACTGAGAAAAGTCCCTGAGAAAGCTCAGTACTCACTGTTGAACCAAAATAAACACACACCACTTGCCTAATATATTCTGTAACTGGTTGTAAGAAACCAATATGGAGAACTCAGGAACTAATATTATGATCTTATAGACTTTATTTTTACCTTCAAAGCCAGAATTCAGAAGGTGCTCCCCGAGATCACAACCAAACACCCGCTCTTTCAAAATCCCTCGCTGCTTTAGCTTCTGTTTTGTTGGACGAGACTTCATGAATGTTCGTAAGAAAGTAATGAGCTTGCCGTGTTTTTTAGATACTAAAAAATAATAATAAAGGGAAAATATTTTAGTAGTGGCAAGAAATTACACTTTCTTTTTTAAAAAAATTTTAATTTGTTCCTTTTAGATATACATGACAGTAGAGTGTACTTTGACATATTATACATACGTGGAGTATAACTTATTCTAATTAGGATCCCATTCTTGTGGTCATACATGATGTGGATTAGACAAAGGGGAATAAAGGGAAGGGAAGTGGTGATGAGAATAGGAAAGACAGTAGAATGAGTTAGACATAACTTTCCCATGTTCATATATGAATACATCATCACTGAAACTCCACATGATGTACAATCACAAGATTGGGATCCTATTAAGAAATTACATTTTCATAGTGTGAAAAGAAACATACATCTTCATATGCTGGCTACAAAACAATCTATTACATATACACTTCATAACTTGCAGGAAAATTTCAGCATTTTAGTTCACAGATGTGTTATTAAAAACTTCATAGTTTTGCACTTTTTTCTCACCAGCCTGTGGTCTTATTTGATGGGACTGTGAACAAATTTAAGTGTTACAATCCATGATCTTTCAATCAAGTTTAGTAAATCAGCCATTTTCCTGTGGCACACTTAAAGATGTGACAGAATTCCAAGAAGGACCTGAGTTTTACATAATATATATTGCTTTGGAGATCTTCATAATAAGTAAGACTTGAAAGAGTGTAAAGATGGTCAATTTCTACAGTACACTAAGTGTATCACCTTAAGTCCTTTGTAGATCAAGAAAAGAAATAAGCAAGTTAATATTTGGAAAAAAAATATTTGCAATGATTAATATAATAGAAAAACAATAGTACAAGAATTGAAAGCAAACAATTTTTGAGAAAAAACACTTTTACTGATAAATGCAGCCTATAGGGAAAATAGATAAGTCAACCCACAGCAAATACCATGAGCTCAGAGATCAATTGCAGGATTAAAGAGTATGCCAGGTGACCTCAATCCTTCTATTCAATTTTCGAATGATTACTGGAGTCTTAGGTAAGCCTACTATAGATTGCTGAGTAAGCCAAAGCTTAAATCTCCTGACTAGATGAAGACTCTGAGGGAACGCTGTGCGCCAACCATAACTTATGGCTTAGAATGGCTACTAGCTCTATAAGTAGAGGTCAGATCAGACATTCGCCATCCATTTCTTTTCTTTTTATCTCATGGGAAACACTATTTGCAGACAGAAGTATCTTTTCTACAGACTTCAGGAGGGTGTACAGAGAGTTTGGATTTTATGCAATAAGAACACACCAAATAGTTAAAACAGTTACTTTAAAAATAACCCAATATATGCATTAGAAGCCCAAAAGTATACTAATTAGTATATTAATTAATTAATTATTAATTATATATGAATAAAGTATAACACATTCACATAGAGGATTACCGATATCCTTTTGCTTCTCATTATGTTTTAAAACAGGATCTATACTGTGATATGGAATAATCTTCAGGATACATTAAGTCCAAAAAGAAAAATAGATAAAAGTATACTTAACATATAAAAGGATGAGGAGTACATATACCAAACACACACAATTTTACACACATGTATGTATACACCTAAGAGCTAATTTTTGCAAAAGAAACTAATATAAAGGGTAAAATGTATGGTGGGGAAAGAATGGAAGATGCAGCAAGATTTTGCTCAGTGAGTGTGTGTGTGTTTAATAGTCTGGCTTTTGAATTATGTCAGTGCTCCTACTACATGTTCAAAAATAAATTAAAAACATTAAAAAAGCAAATTCTAATATTGAAAATATGTACCTGATAATATCAAACCAAAAGCATAGTCAACAGAGATAAAATATCTTAAATACATGTATGTAGTCAATTGACTACATGCTTATGGGATATAGTCTAATGAGAAAAGAAGCACAGTCATATTTAACTTCATTCAACTATTTTACTATTGAACACAATTATAAAACAAAAAAATACACACACAAAATAAATGAAAAATTATTATTAGAAAAGATGTTCTAATGTGTGAGAGAGTGGGGATGATAAATATTAAATTGAAGATAAAGAGAGAAAGAATAATAAAATCAAAGAAGGTGAACAAAACTCTAATATTAACTTGACTTGGAAATGTCAACATGAATTCAAAATGAAAGCTCACACACTTCCTCTGAACTCTATCCATTGAAAAGGCTTAGCAACAATGACATATCTGAGACTAGATGTCTCAGATCTGGGTTTCTAAGTCATTCCTGACTAAAATGAACCCAGACTACTAGGAGAAATGCCTAACTCCACTTCGGCAGCAGGCAAAGCACAGAGGTGAATGGAAAACCTTATTGTGACAGAAAGCAAGGTGACCATGGTTATTAGTGTACCATGCCAAAGAGTCAAGGCAAGTCAATCGTCCCTGGTCAGACTTGGGACGATTCAATCATCATAAAGAATAAATATATTTAATTATAAAACATCAAATAAATAAAAATCCATGAGTTCATAGCAACATTCCCCCAAAGAAAGAAGTCACAATTTTTAGCACAAATACAGCTAAAACACTGAAAAAACTGCAGGAGTAGTCTGCCATATTGAACTGGATTTCTCAATAGTAGAAAAAGGTAGATTCTTATTTTATTCACATCAATTAGCAATATTAAATTTTGAATTATTCACTGGAATTAATTATACTTTGACCTTCACAATTCAGGATAATTGGATGGAAACAGATCTCTAATTATGATCATCCAACAAAAACTCTTATGTGTGCTAAAATACCATTAGTCAGAGGGCAGCCTGTGTACAACTGGTCTTTTCAGGACATCAGATTGCTTTAACTCTGCTTCTTGGTTTGGTACGTTTGGCCTAAGAACAAAGAAAGTTGGCTATCTTTCCCTGTTAGGGTGATGACTACTCACACTTATTTTTCTGATAGTAACACAAGACCTAATTAATTAAGAGCTGCAAGAAAGCACAAAATTAAGACAGTGGAGGATGTCACTAGGAAAACTTACCTCCATTTGGTACTGAAGGACTCTGGGAAACAGTCCTGATAAATATGAGCCCCTGGATCCTACTCTGTGTGGCCACCTTTCTCCTGTTTACTTCTACCTCCAGCCCCCCACCCTCCCCAAAAAACAATGGAGTGAAAGTGGTGGATAGGATTGGGAGTGAGAGTGGTGGATAGGATCCTTTCTTACTAACCTATATCCCATTCTGAGACAATAAAATTATACATAGTCATGATGGTGATTATCTATAAAGTCTATGGTTGAAGAAAATTAAACCATGTTCTGCATAGTTTTGGAGTTGCTGTTACTGAAGTTATAAACTGGCACTCTGTGATAGAGAGGCTCTGGCATCCGAAAATAAATAATCATTTATCCTTAAGACAGTGTAATTCATTGCACTGAAAATCTATACTAATAAAATATTCAAATTAAGTTATTGTTAAATTTGAAAATCTAGTAATAATTCTAAATACAAATCTCTCTTATTAATTTTCTTCATTTTAAATTTTCTTCCATTTCTTGAGCATTAAAATGTCCAAAATGAGGGCTGGGGATATAACTTAGTTGGAAGAGTGCTTGACTTGCCTGCATAAGGACCTGGGTTCAATCCCCAGCACCACACACACACACAAAAAAAAAAATGTCCAAAATGAAATTTTGAACAGGGGCACTGCTCCCTCCGACTGCCTTCTTGTTCAATATTACTTGTTACTACTGTTTGAAGAGCAGAAACACAGAATACTCTTAATTCTGTTAGAAAACTTCTACTGAAGAAGCTGAAGTTTGGTTTTAGATGGTTAAGCACTTACAAACCCATGTAGAAACAGACATGCAGTGTGGGAAGGGAGGCTGTGAGGGTTAAGGTCCATCAAATATGCTGAATTCGAGACTAAAACAATTAACTATGGTATTCCACAGATAAAGGAAGTCAATAATGAAGTGCAAAATGACACTCAGACAAAAGCAAATCATATAATTTTAGATCCAAATTTTCTATTCTAGAAATAAAGTGCAACATGTGCCATGATCTTTTTTCATGTTATTGAGCCATGATAGATTTTATATCTGCAATCTTTTTATAGACCTGAGACAAACCCTACCAGACCAGTTTTTCTGGCAGTTACAGGCTTTAGCAGTATGACACACAACATATTATCTTCAAGGTAAATTTTTATGATACCAATAACCAGTTTATAGGGAGATACTAAAAACATACAGCTCCATAAACCATAGTCAACCTTGACATGGAGGTGAGACACTGGGGTTTTTAATTATATGAGCATAATATTTCTCCAGCAGTCACCAAGTAGTCTTGTATTCTGGTAATACTTTCCCTAGAGTTCTTTAAATTGGTTCTCAGACATCTTCTAGACTAATGTAGGACAAGTCTGGGCTGGGATTAATTTCTAATTAATTACTAAGGAAGAGAGTTTGTGCCTAGATAATGGCCTCAGCATTAAATTTATTTGATTATATGCATCGAGTTGTGAGATCTGCAATAAATTCAGAAAGTCAAGCAGATAAAATTAAAGTATGGTAGTGAGGGCACATAAACCTGTAGAGATTGTTCTGATTAAACCGAAGATATAAAGTGCGAGTATAATGTTTGTAATGTTTAACTTCAAATAGATTTTCATACATTGTATACAATATCCTCCTTTACTAAATTCTAAGAACACAGCATAGAACTTTTGGGGGAAATTTAATAGAAGGGGATATAAATATACACAACCAGATTACATGATATTTAGGGCTGTCTTATAATCTCCCAAATCTGCATATCTTAAAATATTTTATTCTAAATAAATACAAAAAGATATGAATTTAAAATTTCATAAACTTGCTTTTATTTAAAGTATAACAGTATTTATTCACACCAATGAATATGGAGAAAGGATTTTTCTCTACAACTATCAAATTGAAAGACTAACATTCTAAAATTTCTGTTCTTCAAAAGTCTAAAAAGTGAATTTTAAAGAAAAGGAAAAAACTGCTAACACAAAAGGCACATTG